ATCACGATATGCTTTCTTTTTCTCCAATATCATATCAGTTTTAACATCATGATTGAGATTATGTAGAATACCATGTGCTGCTTCTTTAACACCTTCCATCGATCTTGGCTTGTAATCTTCGAGAACTTCTTTACCCTTATCATCGTCGGCAAACTTTTCGATAATTGACATTAATTGTTCGTCTTGAGTTAATTCACTTGCATAATTCGGTTGAAATGATATGCTCCAAATAATATTTAATAGACTTATTAGTGTGTATTGTCTTATTTGATTTGTGACATCCAATGCATTCGTAAATTTGAAGAGCAATGTGATGAATAAACGAATTGTTGAATGAGGATCGGATGGTGGCTTTGTTTCTGCATGACATAGGACGTACTCAAGTGTACGTTCGTCAACAACGAACATCTTCACTAAGATAACTAATGGTTCGCTAACATGAAAACCTTCATGTCGAAAACGATTATTTTTGGAACAATCAATAACAAGTTGAAGCAAACGAGTGAGTACATTGTTCATGCCTTTCGTGTCACGCTTGAGTTCTTCCGGTGTGGAAAGAAGAGCCAATGTCATCGATGTAGCTAAACTTCGATTATCCGGCTTTGCTGGTTTACTAGAAAACGAATCTAAGAACTGAAACTATAGATCTATTTCATATGTGAACTTACATTTTCATATACTCTTTGATAATGTCTATGGCTCCATATTTGTTGAGTTCATCAGCTCCATCATCATGCCGAGCAATATTGAGAGCAATACTGATTAGAGGTCGATTATTGGTGTTTGCTAATTTTGATGCTCGTGCAAACCAACCGAGTAATTTCTTGACAAAATTATTTCTCAACAAAAGTGCAACGAGAATAGTTCGATCAGTTGTGTTCCATAATAGACTAAGGGCACGTAAAGCAATATCTCCTAGAATATACCCTTGTTCTACTTTTGTTTCACAATGTTCAGGCATGGATTGTTCGATATGTTCAATCAACACAGTATAAAGTTCAAAGTGATTTTCAATGAATTGTCGATCGTCCACCTTTGAAAATGGAGTAAGTGCAATTGTTTGTGCTGCAATTCGTAGCAGATAGAGAATATGTTTTTTTAAAATTCGATTGTCAGGTAAATTCTGTTGTTCTGCTTTTAACTTCAGAAAACGACTTATATTTGAATGAGTGAGTTGAGATATGCATGCAAAACACATCTCACGAGCAATTTTCGTATTTGCTCGTATGATATGAATTTGGTTTTGTTTGAATAAACGTGACAGAAGACTAGCACATTTCTGATGACAAGATGGAGCATCCGATGGAGGAATTTGAAGGATTTCGTTCCATACAGTAACAAATTGAGATCTTTGATCTCTTTTCATTTGAGCGTCTGTTGTTGGTAAATTTTCAATTTCCTCTAATCGATCTATTAGATGTTGATATGCCAATGTTTCGATTTCATTGCAAGCTATCTCAGGAATATTTTCCAAAGTATCAGTAGTATCTGGAAGAAAGTCTTCATCCATATTGTCTAGAAACATATAAAAAATTTAATATAAAAGTCGATGAACTTTTATAACGATGACTATAGCTGTAGTTAACGCACATATGAATTGTTGAATGGAATTACAAAGGCGAAGATATGTCTTTTGTTTTCTTTACAATCGTTATTGAATAAATTTATCTATCCAAGTTTTGATTAGGAATGTATAAATAATCGCAAATTGTATGTATATGATAATGCATCATTAGTTAAAACAATCAACTGGATATTTTTTGAAGATTTTACTCTATGAGTAAGAATAATTACGATTTTTTCTTGTAAGATACAAAAAACATCGCTCACCATGCTTACCTACGTCAAGAAAGAGAACGTCGTCAACATTTGTATTTTTTACTTTACGCCACGTTACAGAAGTTACCAGTGTAATCTATCGTCAAGAAAGAACGCAAAAAAGAGTCCTTCATTGTAATTCATAGCACTTGGCAACCAACACACATAAACCCGTTACGTTGATAGACATAAACAACGTTGAAACAGGACGAGATAGACAACAATTTGCAACACGGAATAAGATGTTTTCTACTTTAATCGATTGAGATCGATGAGATTAATATATTGTGTATTTTCATTGAAACATAAACTACATCAGTTAGTGTATCAATAGATTTTGCCGGGTACACACTAAATAAAAATGCGTTGTGTTTATGCGTCATGAATTATTGTGTCGTATACAAATTTGTCGTGTTCTGTCTGCTAATTGTTCGTTCACCCTTTTGTTGTGCAAACATAATGATATATAAACAACATGGTTGAACGTAAGAAAGATGAATTTTCAAAATATTCTTTCTTTTCTAAATTATTTCTCGATAGGTTTTTGTCGAGAAAATGGCAATCTCGATCCATGATCGAGAAAGGACTACCTGTAATGATCTGATGCAAATCAGACCAACTCGAGGCAGGACAGATCCCAAAATCTGACCTGCTAGAGTTTTCAGCATAAAAGTAATTCAATAGAATTATATTGAACAAAAAAAATCGAAATATTCTTTTCGAAAAGAAGGATGTGGGTGTGTGGGTGTATCTATTCCATTAATTCACACCCACACCCACCCTTCTCTTTCCTTTTTTTTCTGTCTTTCTCTTCTTTATTTTATTTCATTTTATTTTTGTGTTTGATGGGATTTGTGTTTTTCCTCCTTTCTTTTCTTCTTTTTAATTCTCACTCCTCAATCCCTCTACCAGCATTATTAGTTCACTAAGGCATCAATATTATAATAACAGTGAATTTTAAAACACTCAGCTTATACTTGTTATATTTGTTTTTAATGTCGCATTGTACTTCTTATGTGTCATGTGAGCACTTCCGAGTGTTACATACTCCAGCAAAATAATAAAAAAAATCATGTAAGAAAGAGAGCGAATGTAAATATGAAATGTGTAAAGACAAAATGGATGTCGTGCTCTACATATCGACGAGAAAAGTTGCTTATTACAACTTACCAAGAGTTGTTCAAAAGTAGTTTACAATCATGGTACGGGTACCAATTAAAGGTGGAGTTTGGCGTAATACAGAGGATGAAATTCTCAAAGCAGCGGTGATGAAATATGGTAAAAATCAGTGGTCACGAATTGCTTCTTTAATCCATCGAAAATCAGCTAAACAATGTAAAGCTCGTTGGTTCGAATGGTTAGATCCATCGATTAAAAAAAATGAATGGTCACGTGATGAAGATGAAAAATTACTACATATGGCAAAATTAATGCCAACACAATGGCGAACAATAGCTCCAATTGTACAACGTACAGCTGCTCAATGTCTTGAACGTTATGAATATTTACTTGATCAAGCTCAACGTCGTCGTGAAGGTCTTGATGAAACAATTGATGATCCACGTGTACTACGTTCTGGTGAAATTGATCCAAATCCAGAAAATAAACCAGCTCGACCTGATCCAATCAATATGGATGAAGATGAAATAGAAATGCTTTCTGAAGCTCGTGCTCGTCTTGCAAATACCCAAGGTAAAAAAGCCAAACGTAAAGCACGTGAAAAACAACTTGAAAAAGCACGACGTTTAGCATCATTACAAAAACGTCGTGAATTACGTGCAGCTGGTATTGAAGTACGTCGTTATTTTAATAGAAAACGTGGTGTTGATTATAATGCTGAAATACCATTTGAAAAACAACCAGCTATTGGTTTTTATGATACAACAAATGAAATATTTGATTCAGGAAAAATTGATTATAAATGTTTACATGTTGATAACAGAGATTTAGCTGCTAAAGAAGAAAAAGAACAACAAGATAGAAAAAAAGATAATGCTAAATTAAAACGTAAAAAAGAAGAAGATTTACCAGCTGTTATTATGAATGAAAATCGTCTTGAACCAATAAAAAAAAGTTCAAAATTAGTTTTACCAGCACCACAAATAAGTGATATGGAATTAGAGCAAGTTGTTAAATTAGGACAAGCTACAGAAATAGCTAAACAAAAAGTATCAGAAAATGGTACTACAACTACAGAAACATTACTTGCTGATTATAATTTAACACCGGATTTAAATAAAATTCGTACACCACAATTACCTTCAACACAAGATAGTGTACTTAATCAAGCACTTAATCTTAATATATTATCAACTGTACAAACACCATTATTAGGTGAATCAAATACACCATTAATGGATGTTAGTAATGAAAAATCTAGAACAGGAGCTGGTTTAATTATGTCAACACCAAATACTTTATTTGATACACCTTATCGAACACCAGTGAACACAACAAATGACGGAACAACATCATCAATACGTGGATCATCAGCAGATTTTAATTCTGATAGTGTATCTGTACGTGATCAATTGAATATTAACGCTGAAGAAATGCTATTTGATGATCAATTAAAACAGCATGAAGTTAAACAACAATTACGACATAATCTCTCACGTTTACCTAAACCAAAAAATGATTATGAAATTGTTTTGCCTGATACAACTGATCAAACAAATGATGATGAACAAATGGATACTGCCAATATTAAAGATGAAGATCAAGCTGATATTGATCAACGTAAACTTGAAGAAAAACGACGCAAACAACAAGAACATTTCAAACGACAAACAGAAGTTGTTCAGCGAAATTTACTTCGTCCGAATGATATTAATCTAACTATACTTCGTTCAGCAAATGCTGAAGGTCCAATGACAGTCTTACAAAAAGCCGAAGAATTAATCAAACAAGAAATGCTTGTTCTTCTTCATTATGACGCATTAAATAATTCCGTACCCAATAGTTCTGCTAGTCGTAATAAAAACTATACTGCTTATCTTAAAACATATCCATATGAAGAATTTACAGATGATGAACTTGCTACAGCTCGTTCATTACTCGAATCAGAAATGAATTCTGTTAAAAAAATCATGGGTCATGGTGATATCAATCTTGATAGTTATTCGAAAGTTTGGAATGATTGTTATTCACAAGTTTTATTTTTACCATCAAAAAATCGTTTTACTCGTGCAAATGCAGCTAGTAAAAAAGATCGTATTGAATCGACTGAACATAAACTTGAACTTAATCGTAATTTGATGGCACTTGAAGCAAAACGTGCAGCAAAACTTGAGAAAAAACTTAAAACATTACTCGGTGGTTATCAATCTCATGGTCAAGTACTCATCAAAGCATTAAATAATGTATATGATCAAATTGATCAAACTCAAGCTGAAGCTAAAACATTTGAATTACTTCGTCAGAATGAAATATTAGCTATTCCGAAACGTATTGAATCTTTTACCGATGATGTTGCACGACAAGAAGAACGTGAATGTGAACTTCAACAACGTTATCAAGAATTAGTCGAAGAACGAAATCATTTATTAGAACAACAATAAAAATAAAAAGAAATAAAACAACATATATGCTGAATTTTCTTCTTTTCTTGTATAAATATTGTGTTCTGTTTCTTTTTTTGTTTTCTCCAAAAATGTTAAACAAAGAGAACTAGAAAAAAAAACTCTGATCAAATACATGTTTCAATAACGAAAACGTGCGAGTTGATGGTAACATCGACTTGCCAGAACAACATTCTACAGAAAAAAAAAATTTTTTAATCAATAGTATATGAATGACTTCAGTCCCAGGCGAGCAAAAAAAGGTTAGGACGTGCAACATGTCTAGTCTGAAGCGTCAGTATTACTCGTCATGTCTAGTCCAAAATATTTTGTTTGAGAGTCCAGTCTAGTCTGTTCCACATGAAATGTTTTACTTTATATCTGGACTAGTCAGGAAATTCTGGAAACCACGTCCAGACTAGTCTAATGCGTCTTGAGTCGTAGTCATGTCTAATATATTGTACATAAAATGACATGCTTCAGCATTTGGACTAGTCTAAAATTTATAGAAGTCATTCTATATAAAGTGGAGAACGTCTTTTTCACCAGTCAAGTCTAATCTATTCATATTGTCCACACTCGTCAATAAAACAAAAAAAAGAACGATAGATGGAGATAGGTGGATTCGAACGTTTGATCAGACAATATTGAGGACCTGACTAGTCTGGACTATTTCCAATAGTGACGTAGACTAGTGTGAAGCGTCATTTGTATTATTCATAACTAGTTCATATTTGAGAAGCTAGTACTGATCCTCATCCAGACTAGTCTAAACTCCAGCAGTGTTGAGGCTTCCTAAAAAGGAAATTTCCGAAATTTCGGAGATTTCAAGTATTTGTGTTCTGAATTTTACGTTACTTCCTAAAATGATGTAATTTTCGAAATTTCTGAAATTTTCGCAATTATGGACTTACAGAAATTTCTGAAATTAGAGAAATTGCAAAAATTTCTGAAATTACAGAAATTGCTAAAATTTCTGAAATTTCCAATATGTCTAAAAACTTTTGATTTGCACTGCTATAGAGTTATTGAGCTGATGGAAATTTCAGAAATGTGGGTAATTTCCTTTTTTGGAAATCTGAACATACCTCAAAGGAATTAAGAATAATTTTATTTGAAAAGCAATTTTTATATTTTTATATGAGAATTATGTTTTATTTTTAGTATCAATTCTGACAATTTGAATTTAAAGATAGATTTAAATTAAATAATTTTAGTTTATTTTAAACTTGAAATCGAAAAAATTAAACTAAAATAACAAGTAACGCTCGTCGCTACGACTCGCTCAACCCTCGACTGAAGGGTTAGAAGTACTTATACGCTAGTCCACTTTATCAAGACAGTTATTAATAGTATCATATGTAACCGCCTTTATCGGTTTCCATACTTTTATAAAATACTGAAAAACGTTATAGCTCTTCCACATAGACAAGCTTGAGATTTTTCAGTATTTTGACCATAGCATCGTCATTTATCGGTCAAACTTAGAATATTTTTTTATCAAAATGATCAGCGCAGATAGCTCCACAAAGTCTGATAGACGAAGACATTTTCCGAGAACTCTTTGTTTGTATGCATGATTGACCACTGTAAATTATAGCGTCGTCAACCGGTGGACGACATCGTCTCGAAAGGGTTAGGAAAATATTAGTACAGTATTCTCAAAAAAATCTAGCATTTACACATATCTTTTGTGAGGCGAGCCTGCAGTATGCTTGCAATATGAGCGACTATTCGTTCATTGGTGCTCCTTCAGGGCGCCCCACTCACGGCTAATCGCTCCTTTTACATTAGTGTACTTAAGTAATAGTTGTTTTTTGCCCATTTTACATAAAAGATATCACCTCGTTTACATATATCTTCTTATATTATATGCTTCGATTTATAGCAGCTAGAAATTTCACGAGTCAAAACTCTTGAAAACATATACAAGGTTAAAAATATGGGTTTATAATAATAATAATAATAATACATTACAATTTATTGCCACATCCTAGTTTAAGACCCTCACCTATCTATGCATACACTACCTCAGGTCATAGATTTAACCTTATGAAAGAACAGTGATAGATACGCTCGTAGAATCAGTCCTATTTGAAAATTATAAGAAAATTCAGCTAAATTTTATTCCTTTTCTCCATCATTTCAAAAGACACTGGTGCTATTCTTTGTCATAGATGACTTTTACTATGCTTTTAAAAGTTGCAAAGATACAGAGGTTTGAAATGCTTGGGCAGCACCCCTTAACAAAATCACAATGGTATTTCTATACTAAACATATAGTTTCAAGGTACAAATCACTTTGATCTCTTTGAGATTTGAAAGATGTTGTCAAAGCATTCCCAATCTGGGTGTCTCTGCAATTTTTGAAGGCATAATAAGAGCTATCTATGCACAAAATATGGCTCCTGTCTCTGTTCAAATAATAGACAGACTGAGTACAAATCAGCGGAGCTTTCTTATAATAATCAAATAGGACCGATTTCAGTAGCATATTCACTCCTATCTTTTGCATTTAATTTATGAATAGCCAAAAATGCTTCCTGGTAACAACAAAAGTCACTTAATTCATAACTATTTTCATAAAATTGGAAAATGTCGCACTATTCCCTGTCACTTTCTTCTTTTTCATCTGTTTAGACATAATCTAAAGCCAACATATACTGTATTAGCTGACAATATGGTTAATAAAATGCAGTTTCGAAACCAATAAGGACACATACCAACGAAAAAATCCATTTTATTTCATTCAATTTTGCTTCTGATAGAGTGAATATAAATTCTTTGAGTGATGCTTTCCGTCTACAGTGGACGTCATAAGTCTCGCACCACTTTTTTGTTTTGGGTGACATTACCCAACGGTACGACATTTTCTCAATTATTTTTTTTTGTTCCATAGAGGAGCTCGAGTACTACATATATGTATTAGGATTTAATACGACAAGCTCTTGAATGTAAAATACATAAAAACCAACAAACTTCAGTACTAAGAAAAAAATACCACAAAAAAAGACAATGTGATGTTGTCGGCATACGATACTTCCAGGATTAGTCAACCACAAAAAAACTCAACCTATTTAAAAAACTTTTCATTTTATCAGATTTTGTAGAGCTTTTTTTGCTGATTATTTTGGTGAGAAAACAGTTTGGATTTCCATGAGAAATGATGGTTTTATAGTCAAAATACTAAACACTATGAAATACCGGCTGTCCCAAAATGTGCCCAACATAGTTTGTTTCGCGAATATCTCTCCACAGATAAATGATGAAATCTTGGCTTTTTTTCAAAAGATGCGTCGTGAAGAACTCTACAAAAACCTTTAAGGATAAATCCCTATTGACTTCTTCTATATTCAAAATAAAAGAAAAAACACATGATAGTGCTACTTTCCAACCAGTTTAACGTAATAAAAATGTTTCGAAGACTTTTATATTTTGTATGTATCTCGGCTTAAGAAAACGATAGCAACTTGATTTTTCTTTCAAAAGATGCGCCGCGAAAAGCTCTACAAAATCTGTATAAACAACTCTTATTGCAAAAAGGAAAAAGTCTTCCAAACATTTTCATTATCATTTTGTTTTTTTTTTACGCTATTTTTTCATTAGTACTGAAGTTAAATTGTTTTTATGTATTTCATATTCAAGAGGTCGTCGTATTGAATCCTAATACATATATGTAGTACTCGAGCTCCTCTATCGAACAAAAAAAAATAATCGAGAAAATGTCGTACCGTTGGGTAATGCCACCCAAAACAAAAAAGTGGTGCGAGACTTATGACGTCGACTGTAATATATTTCTACTTTGCTTTGTTTACTAAAGTCATCTTTCGTTCAAAATATTTTCTAGCTACTAGTTTCACATTAAATCAAAATAGCTTCTAAAAGACAAAATCAATAATATATCATTTAATACTATCGTTCTCATTCATTTGCTCAATCATATATTATCTTTGATAACATTTGTTATAAAATAACATTGCGGAATCAGGTTCATGTTTTCACTAATTTATTTCATTACAATTTAAAATATTTTACTATATTCTTGATAGTCATTGATGATGTCTTAGGGTGTGTATTCTTCTTTCACCCGCGTTCATACCTTACACCCACACTCCAAGTTTTTACGAACTCTGTTAATCTATTTTCAAAAAATATTTATTTAGACGAGCAGACTTAAGGGTATTGTTCATTTTATCATTATAAAGTCAACGAAATTGGAATAATTTGTTTTGAAAATTTAGAAAATAAAAAAGCTTAATTTATTGTCTAAATATTATAGTCGAAGTTATTGTTCGATTTACTGAACTTTGTTCATCGTATGATTTCTTTCCGAAGCATTTTTTCCTTTATTTTTTTTCTCTATTTTTTCCGCGCATTCCAATTTCAACTGAAATTCTCATGTTAACTATGACGTGATGATGAAACAAATAAAAGTTTTGATTATTTTAATATTTATTGATGAAAGATCGTTGAATTAAGATAAAAGAATTTCCTTTTCAGGCCTATTTTTCATGTTGAGAATGTCTGGCAAAAAAAATTACTAAAAAACCAGCTGCCAATCATATTATATCATAACAATTAAATAAACATGAGATGTTCGAGTTTTAAAAGATTTGCCTGACAACAATACTTACCTCAGTAGTCAACGAAAAGCCATGAAAAAGGGAAGGTGTGGATGTAGGGATATAGAGAAACAAGCATCCATAACCACACCCACACCCAGCATTTGCACCATGTACTTCTTTACTGAACAACTGGTATTAAAGGCTATCTTTATTATTTCATTGGAAAGTGAAAGAGTGACGGTAAAAAACATTAAAAAAAAAGGCGAAAAAGGCGACAATTCTGTCAAGCGCTTGGAGTCAAAATGCGGTCACATGAGTATTTAAACGCTATTGACGGCTGAAGGTCGGAACAGTAACATTTGATCATTGAGGCATTCATCAGGTGAAATGAACACATTTGTCAATTTTTCTTCAGGCTGTACACATGAATGAACACTATCATAATACTCTCTGTTGCTTGACCTGCATAAATGTATTTGCTTTGTATCCGAAATATTTTCATTGACAATGAAAAGAGTCGGTTTGCAAACTGCATCATGCAACACTAAATTCGCATTCAAATATTCACACAACGATCTTATTAATATTCTGTCAGTAGCTTGCGAATTATCTGCCATTTTGACCACATAATCATCAAGGGACAATGATGTGAAACCCCACACTGCGTATTTCCAAAACTCATTTCTATTTGCTTTTATATAATCGATGGCACATTGTCGATAAAATTCACAGTGATGGTCATTACCATGCATATGGTCACTGACTGCACGAAAAAAATTATTTCCATCTTGTGTTATAACTTTTCGATAGAGTGAATGTCGACAAAGTGTAGCGTCAATATCTGTGACACAATGATCGTAGTAATTAATAATATGTTTAATACATAATCCGTTTTCATCGTATATATATGTAACATTGCTACTATAAATATTGTTCATTGGCAACTCACACGACATATTTAGATTATCATAAACGATTAGGTGTCTTCTATTTTCGTTATTGCTCTGTATAAAATGTGCAGTGTCATCTATTGCTTTTCTTGTTTGCGATATCTGTTGTTGATTTTTGTCTAACTGTGAATAGCGATCTTCTTCTTTTATTTCAAAGTTGTCGGTTACAAGTCGCTCTAGTGTTCCATTGAATGGCAAGGATTCTTTTAGAATAGCAATACCGCTTTCCGAAAGTGTGTTACCGTATAGTATTAACTTAGTTAAAACTTTATTCTTCTTTAATGCATCGCTGATAAAGTGCATACCGTCATCGGTAAGCATACATGTGTCTAGATAAATAATTTTCAATGCCTTATTCATAGAAAGGCCTTCACAAACGTATTTAAGACCATCATTAGTTACCTGATTATACCCCAACTCTAATCTTTCTAAAGTTTGATTATTTTTCAAGAAATGTTCGATAAATTTACAGCCATCAGCACTGATTTTATTAGAGACCAAGTAAAGTTGAAGAATTCTCTCAGACTTGACTAGACCTTTCACAAGTTCTTGTAAGTCTTTATTGTTTAGATCAGTGCTACTCAAATCCAATATTGTCAAATGAACTGCATTGGAAATTGCAAGACCAATAGACGATGACAATCGAGAATTTGACGATATATTGAAATCAGTTAATGTTTTGTTAGTGCACAAACTGTCACCTAGAGCCGTAGCACCAGCACTGGATATTTTGTTAGAACCTATAGATAGTACAGACAATGTCTCATTGGTCTTCAATCCAAAAGCGATGTATTGGGCACCGATACAATCTATACCATTATCATTCAAACGAAGTTCTCTTAGAGTTTGGTTTATCGATAATGCTTCTCCAATGGTTTGCACACCACTTGATTTTAGTCTATTGTTGAACAGATCTAATTTCGATAAAGTTTTATTCAGTTTTAACGCGTCACCTAGTGCATGGCCTCCATCTGAACCGATTTTGTTGAATGATAGATCCAAATCAATTAAACTTTCATTCATTTTTAATCCAAAGGCAATGTACTTGGCACCAGAGGATCTGAGTTTGGTCGATTTCAGTTGAATGCTGACAATGACTTTGCTTTGTTTTAGTATTTCACCAAGATGTTGAGCAGCTTTAGTTGGTATGTCGGTATAAGAAATGTTCAGATGTGTTAAAGTTCGACTGTGGGTTGAGAGAGCATCAATTATGGGCGATGACATACAACCACCATGCAACGTACTAAGACTTAAATGTGTTATTGTCTGATTAACTTTTATGGCTGCAGCAAGAGCTTGACAAAATTTCTTGTAAAGTTTTCGTATTTGCCATGGCCCTCGACAAATATCAGGATTGCTGTAAGAAGACCGAAAAGAAAGAATATAGAAAAAAATGTGGAAACCTCGGATTTAAATCTGAGAGTTATGTGTACTTCAAATAGTGAATGAGACAGATGAGTCGTTCTAGAATGTGGGGACATAAAAATTATCCTGGCAAACGTTGTCTATAAACATTTGATTTCTATTGGCTACTGCTCAACCAATAGGATTTGGGGGTGAATACAGCTCAAATTTGAACTCTTCCCCTTGATTTACCCTAAGAAAGTCGTTTTTCCTATAACTTGATTTCTATTGGTCATTGCTCAACCAATAGTATTTCGATGGAAGTGGAATACAGATTCGAGTTCTCCATCTCAGAAAACCTCGAAGTATCATCACTGTGATCGGAAGATAGAGCTCTATTTGTGGATCAATTAGATCGTGGACAAAAATATAACCTAGTTCTCTTTAATTATCTTTGTGATAGATGAATCAACCTTCTTGTTTCTTTATGTTTTATATACCATTTTGTAGCTCTTGAAATTCTCTATCGAATGGTGTCTAATAGTTGGGGTTTTAGTTGACTATGAGAGGAAAAGTCTTTTACGAAAGTGGGGATGGGTCGATCTTTCCATAGGGAAGGTGTAGGGAAAAATGAGTATTTTTGCAATAACTCAAGAACGGCTCGGTCAATCCTTCTCATCTTCGAACTCGACCGAGATATTGTTAAGACTGAACTGTGTAGAAAATTTCATCGCGACCGAACTCTCCTTTCGAAAGTTATCGTGTAAACGGCCGGACGGACACACTGACCGATTCTAGAGTGTACTCACTTTTTGAGTACACAAAAAAGAAGACAGGATCTTGAAAAGCGCAACGTCAAAAAACCAAAAGTTCGAAAAATAAATTTCAAAATTAAAAATATCGAAGAAACAGGATCTCGAAAAACAATATCTAGAAAAAATAAAATTTCGAACAGTCATGAGAATAAGCAGCCTTGATCGATTTCGACCTTGCTTAAGAGTCTCATTAAATGGCATACTTTGTCATTTTATGATGATAGATTGGACTATCCCATCTGATGAGACCTCTTAAGTAAGGTCGAAACCGATCATTGCTGCTTATTCTACAGTTTCATCGTCATTTTATTATGATGAATTTGAATAAAGTCATATGATGAGACTATTAAGCAAGGTCGAAACCGGGCATCACTGATTATTCTTAATGTAGACTTTTTGAGATTTTAGTTTTCGTAATATCAGCTGTTCAGAATTCCAATTTTTCGAGATTTTGTACTTTCAAAATTTATCTTTTCGACTTTAGTTTTCTTATTGAGCGTTTTCGAGGTTCTTTTTCCTTTGATCTTTTTACATCATACCGAATATCAAGTTCGGTGATCGTATTATTTACGGCTAATGCATTAGCTAAATATTCGAATGCCAAAATGTTTTCAGATATTCTACTATCAATGCAAGGATGCAAGTAAAAAGTTAAACATTGAATACTAGAGCCATTGCGGATAAAGTCAGACACAACTCTCATTTGTTGTAATGTTAATGGTTCTCTGAATATCACTTTATTGCCAAAATCTGCAAATCGAACATCCATTGAACGTAATTCCGATGCCATATCCAAAATGTTTTCATTTAGATCTTGATTGAAAAGGATTTCATCTTCTCTGACGTATTGGTTAGTGCCACCCAGAGCATTCATAATATCATGCATGGCAAACGTGTCCACTTGATGTTGAATGGCAATTTTACACACCTCTATATCTAATTCTAGGATGTCTTTAAGTTGCTCATTTGGATTCAATTCCTGTGCGAGACGAAAGTATAAGAATGCTTGAATAAATCGATGCATTTTCAAACTAGGTCAATCACAAAGGATGTCTTTGCTATGATAGGGAAGAGAGTTTGAATGTAATATATTCAACGTACGATTTGAGAAGAAATAGTTGTGATGATCAATGAAGAGCAATGAGAGAAAACATATTGAATGGATAAAATACCATGGCATTGTTTTTGAATGATCCCATAATATGAGCCCATTATCTCAAAGGTTTCAGCTAGCAGGGGATGTGGTATTCTCAACTCATCCAATAACTCGGATTGAATATCAAGTATTTTTCCGAATTCTTCTAAGCTCTTCGAATATTGCTTTTGCGCAAAACAAAATTTTCCTAAATGAAAATGTATCTTTACACGTTGTAAATGATTTCTTGGTAATGATAAAATTTGTATATTCATTGCTTTCTGGAAGTTTTCTAAGGCACGAACATCATTTGAATCCTCTTTAAAATAGGCCCACCCAATATAATAGTATAATTGAACGAAAAGAGGATGATTTTCGGGTAAAAATTTATCATAGATCTCCTTTGATAAGGACAATAAATCAAAAACTTTTTTTGACTCGAACTCATAGCTATCGTCAGCTTCAATATATACTGATGCTAAGTTAATGTATGTTTCAGCCAACAATAAATAATATTTTTTCTGGTTTTTCTGTTCGTAATTTTCCAGAGAAGATATAACAACGCCCAGCGTCCATGCAGCCATATCATACTGTTTTTCATCAACATATAATTTTCCTAATAGGCTTTGGCATTTTAAATGATTTAAAGTTCTTTGATATTTTCCATAATTAAGCACAATTTTATAAATCCTTTCAGCTTCAATATAATGGAATTGGTTATGGTACACTAAGCCCAAGCTCATTGCCAAATCAGCTGCAAAAAGTATATGTTTGTCTTTATGGGCGCACGAATTATAGATATCCTTTATATAGTCCTCTGCTTCCTTGTACTTTCCCATGTAAATCAAAAAGTTGCTCAAAATAATGACATCAATGTCACCATATAGTTCATCCAAAAAATGATTCATCAATTTGACGACATGTTGATTTTCGATACTTGTCAATTTCAATTCGATTTTCCAAATATTTGTACCGGCAATTAATTCTATATGTTCTAAAATTTCGAACATACTGCCTATCGAGAACAAAACTTCTTCTTCGTCTTTAAACTTTGTATAATCTTTGATTGAAGCAAACGGTTTGTTATTTGGAATCGTATCATTTATATGAATGACAAATAAAACTGATTCTAGTTTTGGTCGTTGCTGTCCATTGCCAGCATACAATTTTGCTACTTCTTCATCAAAAGTCGTTGACAAAAAGGTATTGACCGATATACATTTACCACAGTTCTCCTTGAACATATTTAATTCTTGTGCGCTTATCATTTGTCCACGATAGACAATTTTTGCTGAAAAATTATGGTGTATTGTTTTCAATTGACGATGTAAATCAGCAATAAAATATCGAAATTTAAAAACATTGTCGAAATTTTCGGGATAGCGAAGAGCTTTATTCAATAGACGATACATGAAAGAATCAGCTGTATACCAACAAATAGCTTGATCAGACATATAGGTTGAACGAAATTTCTCAAGTGCTTTTAGACCATTCGCATCATTTTGATAATGCAAGAAACATAATTTAAACATTTGTTCTTTCGCTTGCTCTGTATGATTCATATTTATTATCATTTCAATCAATAATTGTAACCATAAATAATCAGCATTTATCGTGCGTGTCGATGTTTCTGCACCATCATTGCTGAAAACCGTTATTGGCAAAGATAAGAATACTTTATAATTATCCACTCGCACATCATTTATTAGCTGATTATATAATGAATCAATGTTATTGAAAAGACCACGAATTTTGTTGTTGTTACAATTAATCCAATTGTAAAATAAATCATTTTCAGAATATACGCAAAAATAAATTAATGCAACGGATGGTATATTATAGAAAGACATCACACGTGAACGGGCTATTAAACCACTGAATATCAAAATAAATCGTTGATCACAATTCAATCTTGCATTCTTTATGTGATTAATACATGTTTGAAAATCACAGAATGATTGAATATGAGGAAATACTTGGCGTAAACGATGCCTTAATTCTACAGACTCACCATGATTGGTACGGTTTTTTAAAGGTATTTCTAACCAAATAATAAAGCTATTTTCACTGTCGAGAGGGATAATATTAGATGTAGTAGAAGCAATATTGTCTTGTTGTAAAGGTGTAATGCGATTTCGATGACGATGCGTCTGTTGATTTCCCATATCTAAAATATATCGAATTTCTTGTTATTCGATGTTAGTACGAATTAATTATCTGAGACATCTTAATATGAAAGTAGCGTATCATTTCCAAGTTTAATACGAACCAGTTCAAGGCCATAAGTTTACGAAAATTGAATCGAAAACTACAATAGTGCAAGCTTGAATGAGCTAGATCTAGTAACTTGTTCATTGCAATCAGTCAGGACTAGCGACTAGCTCGCTTGCTCTAGACTGAAGCCGATTTCTGTGGCCTTCAGTATTTTGAAATTACACTGGATTCGGTGCTGACACTTGTTCTTTTGTTTCAGACATTCTGATATCATGAACGAAAGATTACGGTGAAATACTACGACCTCATATATAATCTATCCCCTATCCTCGATTGAAATTTCTTTATGTACTTGGGAGCTACATCATTAGTTTGTCCTCCTCTCGTGCATAACGATATCCATAAAAGATATAACCACAATATCCTTTTCCGTTCTTTATGCACTTTAGAATGACACCCTAGGTGCGCTCGTCTCTTGTACATAGCGCGATCCATAATTGTGCTCTAACCTTTGTATTTTTTTGTTATTGTGTTCGCTGTATTTTTCAAGGTCGTTTTGCATATACGAAGTAGTATATAAGGAACGAGAAAAATACAGTAGATGGAACGTTTTCTTGTTATACCAGTAAAATACACTTGGAGTAGCTTTTCAGTGGTATCTCTTACAAAAGAATTCGTTGCATAAGGCCCACGTTTTTAGCACATGCACTAGTGACGATTTTTATCTTTGCCGTGTCCTATGTGAATGTACTATGTTCTCGGTATTGTGTATGATCTCTCACCCGACAACTACCCATGTAAAAAAACAGCCTAAAAATCAGATTTTAAATTGATTTTTCGGAGAAAAATCAGAAAAAATCGATTTGAAGGAGATATTTTGATCAAAATCGTGGAAAAAATCGATTAAAATTCATTATTTTTAAAAAATTCGAAATAGTCGATTAAAAATCTAATCGATTTTAATCGAGGATGTGGGTGTGGTTTTGGGTGTGATGAAAAGAAATCCATACCCACACCCGAAAATTTTTCTTATTTTATGTGGTGATAGAGATAACGATGATTTATTTTTCTATGCTATTTGATCAATCTTCAACAAATATCATAATAATAAAATCTCAATAAGGACTGTTTTGGTGTAAAACTTAACTAACGGATGAGGCAGATTGAATGATCGTGCCTTGCATTTCAATTTTCAATCAATTAATACGTTGTGTTAAAAAGAAAATATACCACAGGTTGTAGCCTGAAAAGCTTCACAATTTACTTATGATTGATTATTTTTATATGACATAAGAAAAAAGGAATTTCTCTCTGTAGAGAAAAAAACTGATTTTTTCGGGGCAGTGAAAATATTCGCACAGAATATCGCTTATTTTGAAAACAAGAAATACACACCTAAAATAAGCTTTACTTTGTAGGTTGTAGAGCTCTTCACACTGCATTTTTTGATGCATTTTATTTTTTTTAAACAAAAGATATTAGGCGATAAAAAGATGAAATAAGAGAAAATGACTTATATTGTACCAAAAAAAAAATATCGTTTCCACACCGTCGAAAATTGCTCCCTCAAAATTTTGCTGATTTTGACGACAACAAGTGCAACCATAAAATAGGCTGTACTTTGTAGATTGTAAAAGCTTTTCATGCTCCATCTTGTGGTAAACACAACGTGTTAAGTGATTGAAACATTTAATCTGCCTCATCCATTAGTTAAGTTTTACACAAAAACGGTTTTTGTCGAAATTTTATTATTATGATATTAGTTGAAGATTGATCAAATAGCATAGAAAAATAAAGCATCGTTTTCTCTATCACCAGGTAAAAAAAATTCTTCAAGCATTACATAAGAGATTGAAATAGCTCCATAACTACTTCTGGTACGGCCTAAGTAAATAAGCTAATACTCATGTAATGAACCATTTCTCTATCTATGTGTTTACTTATATATTAATCTAATTATTTCTCTATTTAGCTGCTGGTGTCCATCAAACTATGTATTTAACTCAAGGGGGAAACAGGTGATTTTTTTGATTTAAATCAAAACAAAAATCAAAAAAATCAATGAAAATAATGTGGTCAAAAAGAATAAACTCCGCATGTGAACTTCAAATTTGGAGCTCACCTACACGTCCATATTTTACCATAATCTGCAGTCTACGTTTTCCCTCAAGGACTATCCTATAGGGATACCCATAGGTCCTCAAGAGCTATACTATAGGGGTACCCATAGGTTCTCAAGTCTTACTATTAGAGGGTACCCTGGGGTCCTCAAGTCCTACTATTGGGGTACCCTTTGGTTCTCCAGTCCTATTATTGTGGGTACCCTGGGGTCTTAAAGTCCTGCTATTGGGGGTACCCTTGGGTCCTCAAGTCCTACTATTTGGGAGTACCATTGAGTCCTCAAGAGCTATCCTATAGGGGTACCCGTAGTTCCTCAAGCGCTATCATATAGGGGTACCCATTAGGCATGCACCAAACCCGGGAAGGATCGGGAATTCCCGGGTTCGATCATTTCCCGGATACGGTGTTCCCGGGTTCAGCCATTCCCGGGCTCGGTCATTACGGAGTTCGGTCATTGGTAGTTACCCTTGGATCCAGAAGACCTACTATTGGGAGTACCCTTGGGTTCTGAAGTGCTACTATTAGGGCCTACCCTTTCGTTCTGAAGTCTTACTAATGGAAAGTACGCGCGGGGGCTAAAATTTTATTTTAGCTCTACGGGTGCCTTTGTAAGGTCCCCTGCATAGGAATTCCTTCGACCCTGAAATACTCTTGCGCATCAGTCTTCTCTCCTGAATTGGGACTATTGAATCATTTAAGATGCTGAACTGCTACTAAAAGTGGACAGAGAGTTATACTCATGTCGAGCATTACGGTAACCAGATATGCCTGTATTTGGCCGATGCTTTCAAGACACCCTTGCAGTCTTACTAATAGAACAACCCATAGGCATGTTCAGGCTGATGATAGGATCATCGTGGGTGCTATATCAATTAATGAGCACACGTAGGGGTCCCTAACCATCCCAGCTCTGAGAAACAGGATCCTGCTATTTGATTGCTCCGTTTATGGATCAATCAGATTCCAGGAGAGCCTTTTCACCTCGTTGTACGGATTAGTGATGGGATTTTTCGGACCAATCATAGGGTTATCGAGCATGCTTTATCGATTAATGCGAATATGTATGGGTCCGTACCCATCAGAAATCTGAGAAATAGCATCCTGCGATTTCATAGGTCCAAAAACAGACCAATCAGGTTTCAGGACGCCTTTTTTTCGTTATTGTAGGCGCAAATGATGGGCACGTTCGGGCCGATCATAGGGTTACCGAGAATGCTCTACCCATATATGGGTATATGTAGGGGCCCCTACGCATCCCAACACAGCGAAACGGAGCCTGAGCATTTGTCCTTGAGAACAAAAGGATACGCCGCCATAGTAGGTGTTCAGGAGCCAAAAGTACCCCGCTATTGTAATTCTTCAGCACTCAAGGATACAGACTATAGTAAGTGTTGAAAACGTAAGGGTACACTCCTATAGTAAGTCTTGGAGACCGAAGGCTACCTGCATATGTTAGATCTTCATATCTTGCTGTAGCTGCCATCGAGCACCCAAGGATACCCTCCATAGTAGCACTTGAGGATCCAAAGGTACCCCTAATAGTAGGACTAGAGAACCCAAAGGTACCCCCAATAGTAGGACTTGAGGGCTCATAGGTACTCCCTAATAGTAGGACTTGAGAACACCAGGGTACTCCCAATAGTAGGACTTGAGGACCCAAGGGTACCACCTAATAGTACGGCTTGAGGCCCCAAGGATACCCTCAATAGTAGGACTTGAGGACCCCAGGGTACCCTCTAATAGTAAGACTTGAGAACCTATGGGTACCCCTATAGTATAGCTCTTGAGGACCTATGGGTATCCCTATAGGATAGCCCTTGAAGGAAAACGTGGACTGCAGATTATGGTAAAATATGGACGTGTAGGTGAGCTCCAAATTTGGAGTTTACGCAGTTTGGAGCTCGCTTTTTTTGACCATAAGACCTCGTTCTCTTGATGTGCAAGTTGTCTACCAGATGCGAAATGGTGAAGGAAAACCAGTCTGCATGTTTAATAATTGTGAAACTGAGCTTGCTTTCACGGTTGAATCTTATTCAAATACGCAGCTTTAAAAAGAAACTTAATAAAAAGCGTTGAAGGACCTAAAAATGGAACATAGAAAGACTAGAGAAAGCAAGTAAAAATCAAAAAAAAAATGAAAAACATCGAAAAAAATCAAAAATCAAAAATCAAAAAAATCTGATTTTAGCTATTTTCCTCTTGATTTAACTGATTACCTCGATCCAATTAACTATCGTTGCTCCAAAATTTTGTCTCGCTTTAACTATCTATCTTAACATTCATCTAGTGATCGAAATATATTTGTCGAAGATAGGGCTTTAGCCTATGTGGATCATAGCTAGAACCGTCTGATCGATCTCGATTAGACCAGCTGGTTGTTGGTACCGATTCCATCTATGGGCGTGGATTCTATTATTTATGATGATCAAAAGTCTTTCACAAAGAATTCACAATTTTTCTGGATATTTACCAAGCATTTTTTAAACACGACAAATGCGATGTCGACTCTGTAATTTGATTCCATTCAATCAAGAAATATACCATTAGAAAAAAGTAGCCAGCAAACTTACAATTCGAAAAAAGAAGAGAACCACGTTGGCATCAAGTATTTGTCATTTTATTATTATACTTGGAACTACAACGCTACTTTTTTTGCGATGAGTGTGCTTCACTTATGGACTGATACTTACATTGTGCATCCAGAGAATAGAACACGCATAAGGATGACAAACTGTGATAATATTCGTATTAAAGCGTACATTCTGAGGAAAATCACAGTTACTACAAAACTGATTCTTTTATGACCTAAATACTAATAAAAATTCCACGC